TAATTAATACTCCCTTATTAGTCTACTTATTTTAGCATGGCTTAGTACTTTTAGATTATGTTTATTTTTATTATGGTTTTTTAATTAGCAATATTTATATTACGTGATTTTATTGTCTTTATTGTTGAATATTTAGGATATTGCCACGACACATCTCATATTTTGTATTATTTTCTTGAAAAATACCTTATATAGTTGTATCTTACTAGGATCAAAGAAATATCTGAAGCACAAGTTACATGTTTTGTGCTATGAAGATTTTACCGGAGAAAAAAACCAAAAAAAAAAAAAAACGAATAACCCGAAAACCCGAGAAAAACCGAGATTGAAAAATCCGGGTTTATTGATTTGGTTTGGTCTTTAGATTTAATAACCCGACACAATTGATTTTTTGACCTAAGTTAGATAGTCTTTTCAAGATAAGAATTTTGTTATTTATAATTCTTGACAGCTCTTCTCATTTTTGAATATCATTTCATTATTTTGAGAATTTGTCTCTTCCTTGAATTTTATTTCATCATTTTGAGATAATCCCTTCCATTAAAAATAAGTTTTTCAATCATTAACACTTTGTCAAATGACATGTTTCTTGTATTCAATATTTATAATTGTTAATTGTTGTTAATTTCTTTTGATTTTTTAGGAATTTCTTTTCAACTTGATCAATTTTGATTATTCGGTTGTGCAATTTACACAATAAGCCGGAAACCAATACTATCAACAAGAAATTTTCTGTTTGGACGTAAACACCATGAATCCTTATATAAATTTTATTTAGAATGACAAGAACTTAAAAGATAAAAGCATAGAGCTAACGGACGAAGGATAAGAGCTTATTTGATGAAAAAAAATCAAATGATAGGAGCAAACCAGGCGAAGAACCATTGGAGTAAAATTCAAATTTCTAAACATGAGCACCATTTATCAATTTAGGAATTTCCTTTTGTGTTATTTTATTTTATAATTCAATCACATCTTTGGGTATTATTATTGATATTATTTTCAAAAAGTTTGTTCTTATTAATACGGGATACACGCGCAATGCAGGTACTTTAAATGCCGCTTTGCATTTCATTGGCAATAATATCGTGTATTTCTCGTAAAATAGGCTATCGATATATTTTTATAGGCAGGAAACAAATTCTCTAAATCAGGTTGGTTATTCATAAATTTATCGTGCTACTTTTAAGAGGGAAAATGATGAGACTATATAAATTGTGTGAGCTTACGTCAAAGACATGGAGAAAAATTGTGCCCTCCAGTTGAACATATCATCCATGCACAGCTAATTCAAACAAATGATGGAACCCGTATAGAAAATCTAGCCAAATGACTCATCCCAGCAAACTTGGCAATGCTTAAACCAAGTGAAGGTGGTCTTTTCACTGCTTTCCCTCAGCTTTTAAATTTCAGCTTCAAATAAGAACTATGGGACGTATAAGAATATTGCACTGAACAAGAACCATTACACCCCATTCCAGTACACACCTCTACTAGATATGTTGACAGGTAATTGCCACAAACTGTGGCCAATACTAGTTACAGACTATTTTCAAGAAGAATAGATGTGCAATGACAAGTACAAAATTGTAATATAGCTCAAGGAGGTAAAATGGGACGACTTTCTGGATCATATACTCCAGCAATTAAAGCAACAAAAACCCAGAATAAAAGGACACCTAGCACAGCCTTTCGTAAGACCTGGTCACAGGTATAATTCGACGGAATTTCAGTCCGTTCACCTGAATTAGGTGATGTCAAATCCAGAGTATCGCTAATAGATTCTGTTGTCACCATTCCTTGATGTTCATAAATTCGAGCCTTACGCATCTCGCTAACGCTAAAGCTACCACATCCTGAGCATGTGCACTGCCCACCAAGATAAGACGGGAGTGTTTGCAAACACTCGGAAAGAACCTTTTGGTACATTTCTCCTTCAAATTTCAGTTTTTGCCGAGTGACTGGTTTGAAAACCTGTTTGTTTGCGCAAGAATAGTTACATTAGAGTTTCCAGAAAAGGAGTTCTATCATCTATGCAGATCAAGTTGGCCTGAGTTTCAATAGTGAAGCAGGAAAGTGAACAAAATAATAATTAGAGTGTAAAGCTTACTTGCACAAAGGTTTGTGCCACAACTCGAACAATAGGTGGAAGGCGTATAATGAATAAGCAGCCTAAACGGTTGGGGAAGTGATCTTGCAAAAGAGTAGAACAGGATCTAAGCATTTGCATGGGAAGTCTCAATGGAGATAGTCCTTCACAGTCTACCAAAACAGTAATTTGAGAATTTTGAGGGTCCACCAAATGAAGAACCCCATGCTCCACCTGAGATACTTCATAAAGAAAATATCCATTAGTTAATAATTTGCCTATTTAGAGAAATTTTTGACAAGACCTTAAATCAGTTTAACTATGATCTAGCTGAGTAGAGGAGCCAACATTTTAAGTTGATTGATTAAAAGCTGATCGGGGTAACTCCTACTTTTCCTGATTTTGTCATGATTTATTTATAGCAGAAGATTACCGTCATGAACTTCTTGGTTTAAGTTCTTACAATGGAACTTATTATTTTGACAAACACATGCTAAGTACGGCTACCCCCAGTCTTGAGCAGTAATAGATAAAAGGGAAAAGGTCCAACTTTACCCCTCTAGTTTCGAATATTGTTTACATCTAACCTCCGTTATACTATTCGGCCAAATTTACCCCTACCGTTATATTATTTGGACAAATTTACCCCTACCATTAGCAAACTTTTAAAAATTACCCCTCAGTTCGTCAGGCGACCCAAAATCTCCCAAATCATTTTAATTAAGTTACTTATTGTTCTTGTTGATTCACTATTTTCGAGATAGTTGGCATTTACATGCTTTCTTAATTGGAAAAAAAAAATAAGAGAAAGAAATATTAAAATAATACAACGGTTAGTAAACAAAGTATAGTAAATTGAAGAATCTAAATTAGGTAGCTTTTCTAAATTCCAAAAGTATTTACAATATCCCAACTTCAATGAATTCGTTGCACCAAAGGTCGGGAGATTTTGCAAGTATTAGTGATATAGAAGTTGAGGTTCTTTGGAGACTTTACATTGTCGAATTCAACTTTGCTTTAGTCAAATGCCTACGCATTGTGCACTCTTAAGTAAGTTGATCGAACTCTATACAAACCAGACAATAACAAAATATATTCGAATATACATGTATATACATAATGCGCAGTTGCTTATAATACACAAATAAATAGACCCACTGAATTCTACGGTGCGTATATGGTTGAAAAATAAATAATATTTTAAACCAATTCCAAACTCATTATCACAAGAAGAGAAGTGGGTGCAATGGTAATTAAAATATCCATAAATAATTTGTATAGTCTAGTACCTTTAGCATTCACATCAATAGTAATTTCTGAAAATAGTGGAGCAAGAAGAACAAGAAGTGATTTAAATAAAATAAAATTGGGAGATTTTGGATTATCTAATAGATCAAGGGGTAATTTCTAAAAGTTTACTGATGGTAGGGATGGCCGGATAGTATAACGGTAGGGTAAATTTGACCGGATAGTATAACGGAGGTTAAATTGTTTTGTTTCCAACTGAAGTAACTATGCAAAAGAAATGCGCATATTCAACAAACATAAACAGCTGACAGAGGAACATCAAAGGTATTCAACTGCTGAAAACAAAGTGACATTTTCCTTTTCTTAGGTTAAATAAAGGGAAATCAGAATGGAAACATCAAAATGTTACACATCTAACTAAAGTAAAAGAGGGAACCATTAAAATCTTAGTCAGATACTAACTGTACAAGTGGAAGAGCATACCTACTGCTTGAGCGAAACAAGGTCTGTCACGAGATGGCAAGCTGATGCATGCTAAGCCAAGACGGACAATGAGGCACGGCCGATGCTGCATATCAAATCCATGCCAAAAGACCATATTTGACCACACTTCTAGTTCTTGTCTGGAAAGAATTCTGTAAGTCTCCCTCCAGCGAATTGTCTTCTTCACTGAAGAAAGTAAGCGAGTAAAATCTCCATCTGCAGCCGTAAAAAATCGGTGGAGTTCCTCTTCACCAATTCTGCATAAATACTATTGTGTCATGTTCACTGCAAGAAGAGAAACCAATAAATTTGAAACATATCTATGTTCGGCAAATTTCTAGTGGCATGTATATGCACCGCTAGAGAAGTTTTTGAATGAAACAAAAGCATCAGGAGCTTTTGGATCAACCTGACAATTGAAGGGAATAAGAAAAGCTCATATGATATGAGGACAAAGAAGACGACAAGTAAAACTGCAGAATGAAACAAAATCATGATAGAACAGTAGTCAATAACTGTTCTTCGCAACAATTCAAGTACCTTGCGAGAGTAAAACAAAAGTTAAACTTCCATCGGGATTCGTTGTCTACACAACTACATCAAATTTCTACCTTTATTTGATTTTAATCAGAAAAAGATCGAAGTGTAAACTCTATGTCATGGTGGTTGGCATTTGGGATCAAGCTGAATGGACGAATCGCAAAGCATTTTCTGCACTATGAACTGTCAAAAAGATGTGTGCGCTACAGCTGCAGAAATAAAACATGTTTGGGCAACACGGGCTGAAACTAATATTCTAAAGCAAAGAAGTTAATGCCTGTCCAGATCCAAGTTATCTTTTCTTGAACTTACTGGAGGCCATAAAAACTAAGATCCAGAGTATGTACGAGTCAGAATTGGTGGCAGCAGAATCTTTTACTACAGCACAATTTTAGAACCCTTTCTAACAGTGTTGTTAAAAGCAACCGCATCTTCGCTTAAAAGGAGAAGCGATGCGAAGCGACGCATCTGGCACTTCTCTGATCTGAAGAGTATTAGGTACACAAAAGTGATGGCTTAACTAACGAAAGAAAGATGGAACCAGATACGCTTCCCCTGAAAAAGTGAGGAAGCAAACAAAGCGACAGAAGTGAGCGCTTCTCTTTATAACTGGGCTGCCAACGTTAATTAATTAAAAAAGCTCTTTGTTTTTAACTTCAAGATCATCAAGCTTGGTCCCAGGTATGTGATTACTTCTTCCTCCTCCTCCTCCTTCTTCTTCTTTTTCTTTTTCTTTTTCTTTTTCTTTTTCTTTACTGTTTCAGTGTCCAAATAGCAGCAAAATGCTGGCGAAATTTTTATCCCCCTTCAGTTCTTTTTCTCATTCTCCTCTTCTTCTTCTTCTTCAATTTCTTTCACTGTTTCAGTGATAAATTGCAGCGAAATGCTGCCCATTTTTCGTTCCAGTTATACTGCCATTTTTTGGCATACTTACTGCCTTTTTTTCATATCATTTATTTTTAGTTGTCTATGCAGCATTTATTTTATTGTCATTCTCCTCTGCTTCTTCTTCTTCATTGTCTATGCAGTATTTATTTTAATATCTTTTTTTAAAATTCCGCTTCACTTAAAAAAAAGCGAGCACTTTGCTTATCGCTTTAAGCAAAAAAGGGCTTGTCGCTTTTCCTCGCTTCACGCTCTTCACAACAGTGCTTTCTAATAAGGATGTTAAAGAAGAGATTCCTAAATGTTCTTCAATTCTTGACTTCTTTGACACAGGGCTTATTCAACATAAAAGTGCCCATCTGTGATGACATCACGACAATAATGACATACCAGGTACAGTGAAAGTACATAGATAATGACAAGATGTGTGTTGTATCCATGTTTGATCAGTGATCAACCGATTTTTAGCATACAGGTTATTCAATGAAATGCTATCAAACATGAAGGTTAAAATATTTTGAGGTAGGTGTCATTTCAATGTCTATGCATTTGGCAACAAAACAAACAATGTGATCACAGGTTCAAGTAGGCTAGTATATCTTGGCAAAAGAACTGTGTCCAGTGAGAGAAAGATATTTCAGAAACAGTATACCGTAAACCATGCAGAAAGATCTACACACTAGTGAGAGAGCTACAGAAGGATCTACACACTAGGGAGAGAAAGCTGTTCAATCGTCTGTATGAAAGTTGATCTGAAGCAAACCTAACTCGCAAAAAAAAAAAAGGAGTATAGGTTGGACATCAAGAGAGACAAAGTAGTCACTCTTGGTTTTGATGCTTTATCACTAGAACCAGTATAGACAATCATGCTCAACGAATATCTAGAGAAGCTTGAACAGAAACACTCTCCATTTTCTGATATGTCTTTAGACATCTTTACAGTTAAACTGGTAGCCTCGAGATTAATTAAGACAAGTTACGGAGTGGCAAAATTCTTGTACTTGCACATCCAACTCACAATATTCAAAAAAAGTTCTCTTGTAGTTTGGATTTGTCAAAAAGATACCTCTCTGGCAAACGAATTCCTTGCTTTTCCAGATCTTTGCAAAGCAGATGCAACCAGCTTGCAGAACTTGTGGAAGACGAACTTGGAGAAACTTCATTGCCAACCCTGCAAAAGCATGGAAGTCGTATAACTCATCAACCACGAATTCAGTCTCAAAACCTTGCTCTGAGTTGGCTTAGATGTACAGGGATAAGTCCAACAATGGTTTACCGTTTAAGAAATAAATCCAGAAGCAACTGAAGAGGATGCAAGTAATTTTAGACATCACATGCTAAATCTCAAGTTACAGCCTAATGTTGGAATGAAGTTCTAGCACATTATATGAATACACCTAGTATATCATTAACATATGAGAGCTACCTTCTATTTCCAACATAAGAAAGCAAGAAAAAGATGGCCTCTATATATGTAATAGTTATCACAATGATTTCTATCGTGCTACAATTACAGTTCAGCATTTGTTTACTGGATTGGCCAGAGCCTGCTTCAGGTCTGATTATATCTTTTGCATGTATAGATTGAGACATAACCGGTGGTAATTGTTCATTACTTCATTACACTTAGAGCAGTATATCAAGGTTGTACCTTTCACTTGGGATAGATTGCTCAGACGAGAATTCTAGCTGAGATTCTGAATCAGAATGCACAGCATTGGTGTCTGGGGAAACTTGAGTGATATCTGAGGTAGCATTATCGAATTCTGAATGATCAGAAAAAGCTGTAGCGATAGAGAGCACTAGCAGTGGCCGCGATAGCATCTAACCACAAAGACATACTGTAAGTCTGTAATTGTGCAACATCCAATGCATGATATCTCAAAGGCATACTTCTAGAGCATGTAACAATGACAGTCATATTCCCAAATTGAGCAAGAAAATCACAGACGCAAAACACATGAAATTGACAATATAAATTTCAAGACTCTTTAAGTTACAAAGGATGCACAACTATAAGAAACCAAGTTAATTTCAGGATATGCTATTTATTCTGTTTTAATTAGGTAGCATATTTTCTTCTATAAATTAAATCAGATACCATATAGCGAAAGAAACTACACATAGATGTAGTCATTGGTTTGACGAGGTAGAGAGCTACAGAGGGCCAAATTGCAAAACTAAAAGTGTTCCGTAGGCTTCACATGAGCATAAGGACTTCCTCTTGATATCATTTTAAAAAAGGGAAAAATAAAAATAAATGAAAGCTTAGACAAGCCTGTGAGGCTACATAAAGATATTCCTCCTGCTTGCAGATAAGCTGTTATATAATAAATGCAGGTACGCCATATGCTCATGATCTGATTATATAAGCATTAAGTGGGGTTTGTAGTTCAATTTCACATGGAAGCGGATTGCTGTGCAATGGGTTCAAGGATTGAATAACAAGGGAAGAAGCCCTTGTTCGTGACATTGAACTTTCTAAGGAATAAAGGAAATAGAAAAATTGATTCTTAAAAACATAAAAGGGCCTCAAAGGGCATTTTTTAAGTGCTAAATTAGCATTCCAATTGGCTACTGTATTACGTCATATAAAGGCTACTGCTACCTGCAATATGCTACAGTTAACATTCCATTATAAAATACATCTATGCTTGGTTAGTCCTTGTTTTCCAGCAAATAAAACCTATACAATAGACCAACAAATATCTATAAAATAGTCCCGTTCATAAGAGGAATAATCGTGGATTTTAATTATAATTCAAAATTAATATGTTTTACCAGCATAAATCTGTATATACATATCTATTTTGTCTTAGGTTGTTTCTCCTTGACTTCGTGCATAATCCCACAAATGAAAAGCAGCACTAGACATGCCGCTTATATCAGGTATAAGGACCATATACTTCTTTTGAAGTTATGCAAAATCGATGCACCTATTGACGTTCAAGACAACATTTTCCAAAGCTGCTGGTCCTTAAGGCATAGACAAAAGTATATTTTTCAGAAAAATATGCCTGTGATTAATGATTGAATGCACCTAGAGGAGTTCACGAGACACAATATTAGCTCTTCTGAATTGGTTAACTGCATACAAACCTGCATGCCGTTAACCAGAACCCTAAAAGGACTCCACCTTTGCATCCACTTAAGTGGGGGGTAGCACACAACTTGCAGAGCTTGCAGGCCAGACCATACGAATGGACATTTGGACTGCGAGATCCTCCGCACAGTCTCCAAAGCAGCAACTTTAACCAGAAAGAAAACTAACTGATTGTCACTCCCCCTTCTCTGCTTCCCATATTTTATCAGATCTATCTGTCTTATATTTGCAAAAGACTTTGAGCCAGAAGCAGTGGAGTGCCATCTAGATTCATTTTTAGTAGTGACAGCAGCTGTCACCGCAGACTTTGACTCACTCCCAGGAGTGGGATTATAGAAGGAGTCTTCCATAAGCACTTGATGAGAGATGGCACACCAGCTGGAGGCCCAAATGCTAAATATTGGAAAATAACGTTGCTTAAACTTATTAAATAGAGCCCATCTGTTATCCAATGCAGCCCTGTAATGAAACACAAATGGATGACAAAGTTAGCCAAGAATATCACAGTGGTGAGAATTCTAAATCCATACCAAGATCACCAATACAACAGCTAATGTCCTACTAACAAGTAATTTATAAGTAATAACTACAGTGAACTTCCCTTTTGGTAAGCGTCAAAAGTGCATAAAATAGAAAGACCGCTGCAGTTCTGGTTTAAAGGTTTTCCGACAGTTTTGCTCAGCTCATAAAACTTTATGGAAATAGACCATCCTGTTAATGTAAAGGAAATTTTGCTAGTGCTTCATGTCCAATCAATCAACCGATAAAGCAACCAAACCTCAATCCAAACTAGTTGGGGTCACTTATATGAATCCTTTCTCTATATTTATTTTGTATGATGCAGGTGTCCCCACCTCAACTATTCCACCACGTACCTGCGACCTCCCAACAGCACAAGTACTATACCTGGGTAACCGTTCCCACCATATGAAATATGAATCCTCTCTATATTTGAGCTCAGTTCATACTAGTTCTAGCTGTTATGATCACAAACTCACAACTATTACTGCAATCCGGTTTCCAGCAGCTCACGGTTAAAGAGGCCCTCCACTTTCTGATAAATTACAATCTAATTGACAAAATCAAATGAAGGCAAAGACAATGTCCAAACATCATATTCACGTCACAGATTAATTCGTTAAATGAGAGATCAAAATCATTTCATTGGACACAGGGGTTAGAAGCAGAACAAATTATCGAGTATAATTGATTCGATCGCAATGCAGAATCATTACCTTTAAGACATAGGCAGAGAATTTCAATTTGTGGATTTTGACGATCTTTTAGAAGAAAATCAATTTTCCGCTTCTCCGTTCAGTTTACCTTTAGTTCATAAAATGGGGGAGACAAAAAAAAAAGGAATAAAAAACCGAGGAGCTTTTTCCGGTGTTTGACTAGTTTGATTCGCCTTTTGCTGTCGTTTTTGGGAGTAAATGGGACTAATAAAAAGACAATTGGAAAAAGGGACTGAAAGGTAGGTTACTGCCGTGATCGGAGTCCCAACCACGTGAAGTTCATTAACTCGTTATGGTTGGAGAGTTTGTGATTAGTTTGTGTCAAATTTGGTAAAATAATTAGCACCCTAAATTTATCACGAATTATTAGTTACAGTAGAGGGTAAATTTCTATAGAAGGAAGGGAGTGGTATGCCACCTGATCGCTCCAAAAGAATTTCATATTAGTATTGGTATCATACTGATATTTCATGTTAAAAAGCTATATAATCAAAGCGTGGCACCTTGAGTACCGAAGTAATGGTAGGTGTCATGGTCCAATTGCTTCCTGCCAGGCCCAAGATCAACCTATTTTCTTTTCTTTCTTCCCTCTTTTCCAGATTTTTCTTTTCTTCTCTCTCTTAATTTTTTAATTTTTTATTTTCATTTTTGTATTCTCTCTATACAGTTTTATTTTTATTAGTTATTTAAATTATAAAATTATATTTATTTATATTTTCCTTTTCTAAATCTCGAATTTTGAAATTTCAATATATTTTAATCATTTTTCTTTTGATTTAGTTAATGTTATTTTTTTCTTGAAGGACCAAAGATTTTTAGTTTGGTTATCACGTGTGTATTTATGTACCAAAAAGTCTTATAAAGTGAACCGAATTAATTAAAAAATGGACCGAACCAAATCGAACCGGACCGAGTTAATTCAAAATTGAGCGAACTAGCCAATTGTAGACCCTAATTCGACCTCCTTGACTAGAGGTAAGTTTATATTAAAGACAGTGGCATCCGTAATCATCAAATCCTGGATCCGCCTCTGGTTACAGCCTTAAACTATTTGTGGTCTTAATTATCCCCCTCAACTAGGCCTTTTGAGAGTCATTACCTCCTTGGACGCTGATGTGGCAAATTCTGTAGGTGCACTCACCTGCCACGTAGATTTTTCTGAATATGTGGCATTTTTTTGAAAAATAAAATATGTTTTTACCTTTTTAAGTATATTACTTTTTTAGATAATTTTTTTCGAATACAATTTATAATAAAACTTGGATAGAACTACATTATTTAAGCTACATTTTTTTTATTTGGCTAAAAATAATAAAGTTTTAGTTAAATTTTTTTTTGAAATTGACCTAAAAATAAAAATTTATGCAATTGAAATAAATAGTTAAGCCATCTAAAAATTTATAAAAATACATAGTTTGAAATTAATTATTTTGGCTATAATTTTTTATATAGCTCTAAATTANGGTGCACTAAGCTCCCGCTATGCGCGGGGTTCGGAGAAGGGCCGAACAACAAGGGCCTATCGTACGCAGTCTTACCCTGCATTTCTGCAATAAGTATTTTTAAGAGCAATACGTATGTTAGAAATAATAAGTTATTTCTTGCAATTGTTCACTCTTTTTATTTTTTATTTTGATGCAATGACTATTTATTTAAACTGTGTATTTTTACCTTTTAAGATAAAATATGTAAAAAGTATATTTTTAGAGCACCATAAATTAGAGCTATATAAAAAATTATAGCCAAAATAATTAATTTCAAATTATGTATTTTTATAACTTTTTAGATGTCTTGACTATTTATTTCAATTGTATAAATCTTTATTTTAGGTCAAATTCAAAAAAAGATTAACTAAAACTTTATTATTTTTAGCCAAATAAAATTTTTTAGCCTAAATAATGTAGTTCTATCCAAGTTTTATTATAAATATTATTCGAAAAAAATTATCTAAAAAGGTAAAAATATATTTTATTTTTCAAAAAAAATGCCACATATACAGGAAAAATCCATGTGGCAGGCAAGTACATCCACACAATTTGCCACATCAGCATCCAGGGGGTAATGGCTCTCAAAAGGCCTAGTTGAGGGGGGTTATTAATACCGCGAATAGTTTAAGCCTGTAACTAATAATTCGCGACAAGTTTAGTGGGGTGATAAGGTATTTTGCTTATCAAATTTTACAGCTTGTTTGGATGCTTGTTACACCGTATCTATACATTTGTATGTTATCCCAAAATAATATTTGTTTTAATTATTTAGTTAAAATTGATTATATTATATTATTAAATTTAATATTTCGAAATAATGAAAAGTCTTATTTTTCGAAACAACCAATTTGCTGAGGTTGGATTGTTTTCTATTTTACTTTCTAATTATGCCCTAACTTATAACTTTAAAATTATATTTTACCATTTACCTTCTTCTTCTTTTTTTTTAACTCCAAATCTCCTACCTTTAACCTACTTTGTCTTTGTTCCTTTTTTTCTTCTGCTGCTTACTATTCCCAACTCTAACGTCATAGGTAGTAAGAATAGGTTTTGCCTACTTTTTGTTTCGTTTTTCTCCTACTTTGATTTTTGTGTACCCTAAAATCCGACTAATAATTAAATTTATATTGAGGTCTTAAAGATATGTGATTTAGTCCAATACCAACTGTCACGCCTCCTTTTTACCTATACCCCGGAAGAAGGGGTATAAGGGAGTTTTTTCGAATTTATGTGACAATCAAAACGGGATCATTTATTTATTAAATTCAGAGTCGCCATTTGGGATGATTTATGGTGTCCCAAGTCACCGGTTTGGAATCCCGAATCGAGGAAAGATTGACTCTGTATTACAGTCCGCGAACACAGAAATCCGTGTAAAAAATTTTGTTAACTCGGGAGAAGGTATTAGGCATTTCCGGATTCCGTGGTTCTAGCACGGTCGCTCAACTGTTATAATTGGCTTATTATCTAATTTACTACATGTTTTAAACCTATTGTGCATTTTATTCCTTTTGCCGCTTTTAATTATTTTCTGGAACGAGGTACGATTGTCGTACACTTGTTGTTTTGGTACACATTGCAAACCGCGTCACATGAAATGCACCCGCGATTTACAACATGTTTATTTTATTACCATTAGAAGTTGTGGTCGAGTCACATGAAATGTGCACCCAATTTGGAAATTATGTATCACAACTATGTCACGGGAACCGTACTCGTAGCTATGATGATTTATTATAGCACGCCTAAAGCAAACTACAGATGTTCATATTTAAAATTAATTCGAAGATCAAAGTAAGGCTACTAATTATAGATATGCATGGGGTAGATAGACCATTGAGTAAGCACTCCTTATTAAGAAATTAAAACTTAATGCTTTGTTGACTAGCTATTTATAAAGTAGTATTATTAATTGGGCATGTCATCAGTTCTTAATTACATGAAAACATCTAGAGATGGAATAAGGACAAATAATCCTAGTCATTTAGGCCAAGCAAATTTAGTTCTACTCCATAAAAAACTGTTTCTAAACTATTTATTTCGTAATTTGTAAGACTTTAATGGAGAAACACGACAATTAAGTAGCTAGAAAATATTACCATAAGAACTTGTTATACTAAAAAATGTATATCTGATTAGGTAGGATTTGCTGAAATTCATTTTGAAAAAGCAGTGGAAGCTGACCAAATCTTGGAAAAGGTTGCTTTATCCACAATCCCAATTCTCTAATCAATCTCACTGTCCATTACTTCAATGTGCTACTACTTTAATTCAACATAACTACTTTGTTTTCATTATTCAAAGTTCTAGGACAGATTTATACGACATAGTTCAAAGGAAAAAAAATAAAATAAACAAGGAAACCAACCAAGATTAAATGGATCAATGTAGATTCAAACTTATCAAAATAGAGTGTAAAGCTACTGATCAATAAAGAATGAAAATAGATGAACCTTTACTGCTGCATATTCCTCGACGACGAAGAAAATTTCCAAAGCAGCAAAACTAAAAGTGAGTTGTTAACCCAAACCTCGAACCGGATAAACTCTAACGGGATACCTCACCGACAAAACGGTTACCTCACGGACTTTGTTGCTGTAGAGAGCAACAGGTTGAAGAGAAGGCTTGAAAGTAATAAAAAGTGGAGCTGCTGAAGAGCTAAAATGGGAGCTTGAAATCTTGTGACCACTCAATTGGGAAGTTACAAAGCTCAACTCAGAACTCAGTTTTAACTTTGGTAAAGGAGCCCTTTTTGTCACTGAAAATGTCCTGTGACTACTCACCACTGATCCTCTCGGCTTATACCTACCACCATTGTTGCCATTTTTGGTTCCAATTCCTTAAAGTTTTCTTTTTGCTTCAGAAATGAAGAGTGGATAACAAAGTGTATTCTGGGTTGCGCTGAAGGTGCTTTTCTCTTAGCTAGGTCTAGAAATTGAAAGCTTAGGGTATGGTTTCTATAATTGGATATTTTATATGGAAGTGGGAAGGGATGATGACCATTGGATTAGAAGAAAATAGATGGCTAGAATTAAATCTTGCACTTAAATGGGCTAATGGGTTGGGGAGAATGAGCTAAGGGTAATTGGGTTGGACCATGTCTTTTTGTGTCTCAATTTTGGGCTAAGAATACTACAAAATTATTACTCAAAACCATAGCTAAATTCCTTTAATATAAGTTAACTATACTACATGATGCAAAAATAAATTCTAATTAATTAAACTAAACTATATTAAAACATGAAACTATTATATATTTTTTTGTATTTTTCAAGATTATATAAAGATAAAAATAATGTACTATTTTTGTATTTTTTACTTTATGAAAGGTACATAAAATAAAATATTTTTGTAATTTTTATTTTCTTGTAATAAAATAAAGTAAAAGAGTCAAAATTAGTTGAAATAACGATATTAGACCTAAATTAAATATTTACATGCTAAAGTATAAAAATCTTGGGGAGGGTCAAAAATCACATGTCTACACCAACTGATAATCAAAGAATCAAACGTATAAATTAAAGAATAAGTTGAATCAAACCAGTGAACAAGCCAGTATCGACCTCAAGCTAAGATGGTCTAGAGGTAGGTCAGTAAATACAACAAAGCTAAAAGACAATTCTGATGAGTAATAAGCAAAAAAGTAAAAAATGTATATTCTCTTGTCAATGATTGATGTGCTACAAATGATTGGGGTCCATTTTATATAGTAGGGGAATCCTAAATAAGGTAAAATTCTAATTGTATTAGGGAATCTTATTATACAGCTGTCTAACCGCCTAGTACAAATCCGTTCCGAAATTTACGCCGTGATTTAGGGCCACTGCGGAAATCTCGCTCTTTCTGTTATGAAACCATAACGGTATTATCTCGAGGTTGGTCATACTTGGCCTCGGTGTTCATCAAGCACTTCGATCTTCGAGTCTTGTACT